GGTTCTGCGTATGTCTGTGGAGGATTATCTTGACTGTGTTCACCGATGTGGGAAAACACATTCATTGTGAGTAGGGCCATTCCCGAGAGGGATCCTGAACTATACAAAATGGAAAGCTCTTCATGCAATCATTGCATTGTTTCTTGATGGTAGAAGCGAGCTGACCAGCTGCTGCCTTCCCAACAATGATGTGCTGGTTACACCTTGAACTGTGAGCCAAAGTAACCTTTTTCTACTTTCAGTTGCTTGTGTCAGCATACTTTATCACGGCAACAGGAAAATAAACTAAACCGGGGCTCTGGTGGCATTCCACCAGCCAGCTGTGTCAGGAAAACTGCCCTGAGAACAAGCACCTCTTGACTCACTACGCTTGGTAAGAATTAGCACAGAAGTGGAATTACAATTTCAGTGCTGCTAAATATAAGATAAAGTAACATTTTAAATTTCAGTTTCACTCAGCATAGTAAAGTTCAACCCAATCTCTTTATCTGTATTTACTATGAAGTTTCTGATACCCACTTTCAGTGGATTCACTTGGGTGACCTTTTTTACACTATCAATTATCAGGTGCTAACAAAGAGGATTCCCTTACAAGATCTGCATTTTCAAGGGAACTTCAGCTTCAGAATTGAATGAGGGAGATATTACACCTCTTCTAACACGGTGAAAATGAAGTAGAAGTTTTGAGTCTGAAAAATGTTTTCCAATCCCAGCTGAATCCCAGTGGTTGCAATGACTTGGGAGAAGATCTCTCAACCTCTCTCAGGTCATTTTCATGCCTGAGAAGTGAAATATTCCCTCCACCTCAGGGTGATATTATGAGATAACTCTCAGGGGATCAAGCAAGGTGACATACGAGAGCAATTTTTAGTCTGCAAATAGCCAACTGTTGCTGATGCTTATATTGCTCACCCTCTTACTCTACAAATGGATAGTCCATCCCTCAGCATGAGGCATTCACACTGAAAAGGCACCAACTTAGAGTCTGCTTATGAGTAATCAAAGTTATGAGCTGAGGCATATGCAAAAGAAATTAACATAGAAGGCAAATAAGTCACAAAAGATTTGTTTCTGAAAAAGGGAAGAAAAAAATTAAAACACTAACACTGAATCTGATCCAACTGAAATAACTAGGGGAGATTTTGTGAAAGAAACTACATGCAAGAAAAAGCCAGAGTGATCTCAGGGTTGCAGAACTTAGAAGGGCATCACTCTATTTGGCTCATTCCAATCCCTTTTCTACTTATATAAATGGGGCTCCAAAACACAAATATTGGTGAGATAGCAATGTGAGGCATGTGAAGACCTTCGATCCATTGGTATCTGCTATGCCAGATGCCATGTCTCTGTGCAGTTAAGAGTGCCGTGACAGAGCCCCTCAGCTGATAATGCCAAGTCATGCCCTTAATACCCAATTCCATTGAAGACACTGACAGAAAAGTTTAGCTCCAGGTCATGCATTTATGAAGAGATAATCAAAGACACATTTTTGTGAAAATCGGAAATTATATTCAAAGCTGTGCATCTTTGACCAATTGTCTGCTGCTTTCTTGTATGAAATCTCCAGAGTGAAAAAATATGAAACAATATACTTCTATTTTTGCCCATCAGAATCACTAAAGCCTGATATGAAGCGAACTGCTCACATTGTAAACATGGAATGCATAAATTTGCTGGATAACAGTAAACTCAAGTAGCACAAATCACATCTAGTATTCTTGTAGATGCTCCTTATCAGTATTTAAGCAGCAGAGACAGTTAGGAGCAACAAGCACAGATAAAGCTCACCACACTATTTAAATTCATCCTGTGCTCCAGGACCCTAGTACTATATTCTGCACTAGGACTACATGGCTTATTTTCAGAGTCAGTACATAACTTCAGATCTACCTGACTGCAGTAGTCTCTTGTCCAAGGCAGTGTAAAGCCACAGACCCATTTCATGCTGCTTAACTTTACTGGTTACACGGGGTGGAGAGGGGGTAGATTCTGTACTCACACTTCAAAACCTCAGATAAGTAATAAGGTAAGAACAACTAGTAGAAGAAATGAAATTAGGCTCAAGTGTAGCTTGGTGGTACACATATTTCGAATGTTCAAGGTCCTGGGATCAACATTTGGCATCAAAAGGGGGGGGGGCATGTAATGAAATCAGAATATATTCTATGCAATTTAATATTTTCAAGAACTCAAATAATTACTGTTTAGACTGAATCATGTCAGCCATGGGAAATGCAATTTAATAAAAGAGCAGAGATGAGATAGATGTGGAGTTCCTAAAACAATATAATCAAAAGCATTTTCAGTGGTTTGAGAAGCTTTGAGATGGCTAGTTATTATGTATAAACACACATGTGAAAACCATGAGCTCTATATGTCAGTGTGTTTACAGAAACATAAAAGAAAAAACACTAAGGGAAAAATACTGCCCTATACCTACCTTTCTTTAACCATCCCGGGGAAAAATAGATCTCAACTCACTTGAAAACTGTCTGACTGGAGACCACACAACCCCCCACCCCACCCCACTCCACCCCACCCCACCCCACCCCACCCCCCCCCACCCCCAAGTGCACTGCCACCCCCAGTAGCTCATTAAACTGTTATATCACCTTGACAGTCAATTCCTGCAAAGTTAAGTGCAAATCAAAACATTTTAATTGAATCATGCATTACATGACTAAGGGAGCTCTCTGTTTGTAGTTAACTTGTGGTAAATCTTTGCAAAGTCATTCATTACTGTGCTAAAAGTAACTAGGGTGTCCTCACAGACACAGTGTAGATGTTAATACATCAAGTCTTAAAGCAGAGAACACCTGTATTAAAAAGATGCTGTAGGTCTGTCTTCTTACTGTATATCATGTTATGGATCTGACTCTTTAATACCTACTTCAGAAATGGACAAGCCACTGTGCTCATGACTTACAAACAGACTGAATTTGGTGTGAAAAAATGTTTGTTTGCCCTCCTCTTCTACCTTTCAAACTCGAGGAAGGTTTTTACTGCAGCATTAAAGTAAGGTCTTAGGAGAACAATTGCCTTGCCAGTCCTGGGACATGCCCGTCATTTGTCATGTGGTGGCTGAATTCTATGCTTTTGTTATCCATTAAAAGAAAACAAAATTCCTTTAACATCATAGCCGGGAGGTATGAGAGTAGTAACACGCCCAAGTGGTTAGAACTATTAGCCTGAACAAGAATGGACAGTCTAGCTTCTGCTGCATCATGTGACCTATCTACATTCAAGGCTGCGATATTTATAAAATTCCTACAGAACATGAGAACTGAAAGATACAAATCAAACTGCTACCTTCCAGGACTCCAAAAACTTCTATTAGCCTCAGGAAAGCATGAACCATTTGGGAGTTTGCCTCTGGTGAGAGCCACAGCAGAATCAATCAGAACCAAAACAAAAATCATTCTGTCTTATATACCTAAAAACATTTCTGCTGCAAAGTGCATTAAACTGTTCCATATTTGAGATCAAGGCTTTTACATATTAATGCCAATGAACCAATAGCCCAAACCCCAATGTTTATCACTACCTGAAAAATCAAATTAAATATACCACATGAAGGAACTAACCAAATTTTACCTCCATTAAACCCAAGCCAAGAGTGAGGCCTTGACAATAGGATTGAAGAGATTAGGGTTTAATTTAAACAGAGTGACTGCAATAAAACAATTCAAATGTGAGCCTTTACAGGAGCCAGGACTTAAGGCACCTCCAGACAAATATTTACATAAACTATACAACATTATAATCTACTAAAGATAAAAGATTCAGGAACCCATTCAATCATAATTTAGAATACAAATATTACAGAAGGAAAGGAGATGGCACTGTGAGCTGGGGCCTGGGAGTGAATGCACAATGAAGTTTTTTTTTAAGGTAAGAGACAAGATAAATAATGGGTGAAAATATGAATGTATTAACAAAAGATCAAACAAGGATCTGATCTGTCTGGCCCCACTGTTGGCGGCATACCCTACCTGGCAGACATGCCTCTAGAAGGTCTTACGTGAGAGACATGCTTCCTCTCATCCTTACACTATTCAATGGCTAGTTTGGCTCCTCTGACTCCTAAAGGACTTCCAACCATGTGCTTCTTCCCCTGGCCAGGCTGGGGTTCATGTCCTCCCTGCTCCTTCCTCATCATTATGTTTAATCTCTCTGAAAGACATATAACTCCAGGCAACAGAGCCACCTTTTCCCACTTTCTGCAATCCAAGGAGAGTGTCAAAGAAAGGTCTCCCGGGGATCCCTTTGCTGCACCCCTCTTGCCTTAAAGACTACGAAGCATAAACAGACAATATCCTGTTTTGGATTTTTATTCCACATAATAATTATTATAAATTGTGATCATCAGAGATTTCTAGTTTGCAAAAATCTCCCTGTTAATGAAAGCTATGTGTTCAGGTTCATAAAGCCAATACCCCATCTGGTCTTTTAAAGTAGGAAATTAATGGAATCCTCTAGAGAATTAAGAAATCTTTGACCATGAACCTGAAAATGAGCCTCTGAGACTCAATAATCTGATTAGTTAAACCGGGTGAACGCGATGACAGAATGGACCTTAAATGGGAAGCTCCAGAGCTAGGGACAGATGCTAGAATCAAGAAGTGGCTTACATCCAAACCCAGTCACTCGGGTGGCTCTTCTATAGAGATTCATCAAGGGAACACATTTTTGTCCTCAGCACTTTCATCTCCACTGTGTCCATGTCCTGAATGATGGTTCTCTACAAAATGAGTTGCTTTTTTGAAGGTTAAATCTAGTTTATGATTGCCATGGCCTCCTTAAAAACCCCATTTTCTTCAGAGTCCCCTTGAAATATTCAGGAGGGCATTTCTCAACAGATGTGTTGTTGAGAATTACCTACACTACAACTAAGAGGTATGTTTTGTGGTTCTCCAGCTCTTTGGAGCCTTAAGCACCTCGGCAACACATCGCTGTCATAGAACCAGTGAGTTCCGAACAATGAAATGGGTATGGAACGTGGAAAAACAGGGCCGCACAGGAGCTCACCCCAAAAAGGGTCAAGGTATAGCAGAAAATTTAGGCCTGACTTCCTCCTGATGACTGAACTTCCTCATGTCCTCAACTGTATGATATTGTCAGCCAAGTTCTGGCCTCATGCGCAAAGGAAGCATCCAAGAGCGCTGGCATTCCTGTAGTATTCAACAGGCTGTTCCAGGTATGGACTCTGAAAGTTGCCATTATACTACTGGAGCTGGCATCCTGGGGTGTCACAGGTGTGTTGATAGTTGACTCAGTCTGTTTTGTTTACAATTTCCTGCCTGACAAATTGCATGTTTCTACAGATGCCTAACAAATTCAGGACATTTAATTCCTCAGCTGCCACTACCCTGCTGTTTATCTCCTCCTCATCCATTGATTCTGATAGTGTCCAAAGACACGTTCACCGGCATTAGGAAAGGTCATTAAAAAGCTCTTACAACCATCTGTACCCAGATGGACAGGTCTCCAGCCAAAATGGAAGAGGTTCCTGCTCAAAGGGACCCAGAGGACCTGATGCCACGCAGTGCCACAGTTGGTTTTTAATTATTGTTTGTGGGTCCTGAATTATTTACATTTGGGCTGTAAATCTTAATGACCCGTGCCATGTTCTTCTTGGCTTGCTGATGATGAACAAAGCCAAAGCTGTATCATTTACCTGATTCAATGATGCTGCAAGAGAGAGGCCAAAGAAAAGTGTATCTTCCTAAATCGTCTTGCACGGATTCTTGGAACAAATTGTTGTCACTTGGATTCTTGTCTAGGTGATTTGTTATACACTTATCAGTGCATTCCCACTGCTGTCATAATATCTCTAAGGGGTACATGTACTTGGACAAGACATGTTTTATTCCTTGACCTCTATCTTGCATATAAAAACTTTTGAGTTTGTTCAATGAAAGTGCAATGATTTTTTTTTTTGGACAGGCACTCACTATGTAAGCTGAGGCTGGTCTTTAACTCATGATGTTCTTGCTTCCACTCCAAAGTGCTAGGATTCCAGGTGTGTTCCACCACACCTGACTACCTCTATCCCCAGCCCACCCCCTTATACTCTTCTGGTTTTCTTTTTTCTTTTAATTTTTATTTTGATACAAGGTTTCATGTATCACAGGTTAGCCTTGAACTCAGTATGTTACTAAAGATGACTCTGAACTTCAGATCCTCCTGCTTCCCCCTTACAAGGGCTGGGATTTTAGGCATGAACCAAGGGCCTAACTGGTGCTGGGAACAAACCCAAGGCTTCATGCATGCTAGGCAAGCACTTTACCAACTGAGCTACATCCCCAAGCCTATAATGATTTTTTAAAGAGTGTAGTCACGTCACAGATTGATTTGGTGGCAACAGCTTCCAGAGGGAAGGGGTTAAAGCCCATAATGTCTCTTGGAAAGTTTGCTATGACTAAAGCCAAAATCAGAGAAATACTCATGGTCAAGTCCTTGTAAACACAATCTTGCCAAGGGAAATGAGATCGATCCAGGGTTCCAACTCACCTTACCCGAGGGGAACGAGGGAAGCAATGTCTTTTTGGTCACCAATGCTTACCCAACTGGAAACCTTTGTCCTGGGAACTGAGCTTCAGAGTCTCTGGGAGAATCAGTTCTGTGGACTGGCCTGGCACAAGCCAGAACTGTGCACACTTTACCGAGCTGCAGCAGAACTGAACGTCACTATCTGCCTGCCCTTCAAAACCCCAAGCAGGCGTGCTCACCAGCGGTGCCAAACTGTTCCACTCATCGAGTCTATGAACACTGCATACGAAATGCAAACATTTTCCTCCATTTGGGCAAACATTGGCACAGGAAACTTTTCTCTCCAATGTTAACAGCAGGGAGCTGAAATAAAAGTTCAGTTTCTCCAAGGGTGGGGGGAAGAGGGAAAAATTCTAATTCTAAAAATATGTCATCAGCACCATGCCATAGCCAGAGACATTGTACACGTTTCCCTCAAGTACGGTTCACTCAAATGAACTTGACAGCTTCGGGGATCACTTCAAAGAAAGAAAATTTGTTGCATGAGGCCTGCCAGACACAAAAGGATCACGTCTCAACAGATGAGACTTGATAGAGCCCCATCTTAAATATTTCTGTACGATGATTATGTGAACTCAAAATTAGTGCTCTGTCACACATCTGCACGCAGCCTTGTGCCCTGGGGGTATCCTCTCAACCCGTTCACAGGACTCTCTACTAGAAGCTGCCAATTAACTTTGAAATCTTGCTACTGCTATTAGTTTCCTACAAAATGAATTAAAGGACATCTGGGCATACAAGCAAAATTCCACAGCTGAACTTAAAATGAGCTGTTTTCCCCTGTCTACAGGTGTGTCCAGGTCAGATAAACAATTTTAACTGGGTTACAAATTATAGGTGTCAGTACTGTCTAAGCCTGGCTAGTGCTGGAGAGAGCCGTGCGCAGGCTGGCCATTTACCGAAATGGGACCGTTCAGGATAGGTTTCCATATAAACCTACTTCTCCAGTTTCTGAAAACCCTGTAAAACCCAGGTGTGAATGTGCTCGTTTGACCTGAAGCTGCAGCTCTGAGACATCTGATTAAAAGGAAAAGCGGCTAGGCATTACAACTCCCCAGAAAGCCACAAAAATAAAGGCTCCATCTTCAAGAAGACTGACTCCAATTACAACCCCATGGTGGAGAGAATGTGGGATGCAGCAGCCTCAAGCTGCATAAGCCCATGGCAGCCATGCTATCAAACAGCTGAGGCAGCTCAGCACATCTATTTGTTTTCTCATCCTCTTAGCCATAACCTAGATTTCTGGATCCTGGTTTAAAATGAATAGGTCCTTGTACAAGGGCAACACTTTACAAGGGAACCGTTAGCTCACTATGCCCTCCGAAGTGACAGGAGAAAAATTAGAAGCTGGTCTTTAATATTAAATATTTAATCTTTGCAACACATCAGCCCTTTCGATTTAATCCCAGGCTTGTCAGAAGACTGACTGCTGTGTTTTTAGCAACTGTGTTTTTTCCTGATATTCAGAAACAGAAGAGCTTAAAAAGACAACCCCAAAGTTCATTGGAAGTGCTTTTAAAAAACACATACTTGCAAAACACTTTCTATAGCAACAAAGAAAGGAGAGAGAGAGAGAGAGAGAGAGAGAGAGAGAGAGAGAGAGAGAGAGAGAGAGAACTGGTTACTAAATACACTAACTCTTGAAAATGCTAAAAGCTGGGTTTGCTCATCTAAAAAAAGCATTATTTGTGCATTTTAATACAGCAAATACAAAATATAAGCTTCAGCAACAATGCACTAAAACTAAAGTGCGCCTTGACATATGCAGCATCAGCCTCCAGCATTCCATAAAGACCAGAGGATGGGAGTTGTGACTTTAGTTTGATGTTAGATCCCAGGTTTCCATCAAATGACGAAATTACAGAGCACGCACAAATGATGAGGCCATATTTAAAAACCACAGTGGCTCTGTTGGTTTCCCCCTAGAAAGAGAATCCTTCACTGTGATCTTTCAACATTCATCTTCATGGATTATACTTCCACCTGGACAAACTTAAAATATTCATTACTTAGCAAGGGGGAGGAAAAGATCTGACTAGACTCAGAACTGTTTCCTGTGGATCAGAAGAGAGATGCAGTCTGAGCATTTTCAGAAACAACAATAACTTTAAAACACACAGCAATTTATCCTTTTTTTAATTTGAAAGACAATCTGGTAAGTTTCCTCTTGCTTCCCAGTTCTAATTCTATCAATACTATGACCCTTTTGCTTTGTGCGTTATTAACTAATGTTGACTTAAGAACAGTAGAACTCTTCAAGTTTTCAGTCATCTGAAATGCAGAACACATACATATTTTACCAAAAGGTTTACTATGCATATTAATCTTTTATGCATTTTATTCCTCCAAGCGTGAAAAGAAACAAGTTGAAGTAATAGAGGCTGCCAGGTGGTGGTGGCACCCATTCCACTGTAATGACAGCCATGACTTAAGGTTTTGTCTCGCTCTCCTCTGCCTCAGAATTGCAAATCTTCAGGTTGCCACAGCAACTCTATATACTGACAGGTAAGCTTCAGGAAGCACCCTGGTCATCATTTCCATCTTGTTTGCTTTGCTTCGCAGCACTCTGAAGTCCCCGCTGTACGGGGGCACTAGGGGCTGACTTCCCTTACAGAGTTATTCCAGCTCACTGTCCACTTGCAACGATTAATCATTCCTGCTTCTTGAGCTGACATATCGAGGTAGGGAAACGACATCCTAAATGAGCAGAGCTGATTACCTGGGAAGGCAATTCTTCAAGATAGCACGGCTAACTAATAGCTCCATCTGCTACACAGAAACACATTCCAAAGCCCCAAAGTAATGTCAGGATACGACTAGCGGAGTGGGGTTCTATGTGCCAGGTTTCTGTGTGTCATCACAGGTGTTTGATGAGCAAAGAAAGTACAGGAACTTTTTTTCCTCTGTGGGAGCACTGGTGCTAGCTCATGTTAGAATCGCAAGCTACCAGAGAGGATATTTTGGTAGAGTTCTAGGTGTGACTTTCTGTTTTTATAAAGTGTGAAATAAGACTTCAACGTGAAGTTACATGAACTTTAAAGGGACAAGCCAGGCCAACAGTTAAAACTTTCCTAAAACACAAACAAGCAATGGTATGGACAAGGTGATTTCGGGGTCCATTAAAGTGTGCAGCAGGATCTAGAATAAAAGATTGAGAGCTTGTTTCAAAGTGGCTAAATAAAAATAGAACATCTATGGATCCAGCCCATACATCAGAGTTCAGCAAATTCAACAAACTTAAGAAGGCTGTGGTTAGAATTCATCGATATGTTCAGTAGACAGTTAAATACAATCTGGCCATGAGATCCGGAACTCTACCAATCTACCCTTATGGACAAAACTATAAATGGCTCCCTGAATTTTTTTCTAATCTAAATAACAAGCAGTTTCTAAAGTCACCACTACAGATCCTGTCTGCTCCTTCATTATTAATAAATCTTCCATAATACAAATCAGATTCTAACAACTCAATGCTGAACATTTGAGGAGGCTGTGGGTTCATTTTCCTGATCAAAGCATTGGCATTTTCCAGTAGCTGTATTTAACACTGCCTCTGTATCGAATGGGAACAGGCTCCAGTTCTTTCCACATTAACTGTGATTTTAATAACATGCCAAGCAAAGCAGGCTGGCGTAATAAGTTTCATTGCACCCACTTCAAAAACAGATAAGCGCCTCATTTTCATACAGTTTCCACTTGTTGCTAGGTAACCACACCATATGAGACATCTCCAGGCATTATGCAGAATGCATCCTCTTCACCCAAATTTGATGTGCTTTGGGCATTAAATACTGTTATTTTAACCATTCCCATCACTCAAGCAGTTTAAGCTTTGGTTTAGATTGTGACATAGGTTTTCAGGATTGTTGTTTTTAAGGGGATTTTAATGTGCCCAGATTTGAAAAGATAAACTACAATAAAGAAGTCTCTCTTGCCCAAAGGAGAGTCCACTGCATTATCCAATGAATTGATAGCTTGACATTTCAAAGAAAGATAAAGTAAAGCCTCTCCAAAGACACTCGTACTATGCCCTCTTAGCAGTAGACAATGTCAATTAAAAACTTCCTTACTGCTTTACGTGACCATGAAGGGAACTTTGTAAGCAGGGGTCTGTGTGGAGTTGGGCTTCACCTGCAGGCTTCGAACAGAAACCCTTTAACTAGGCATATCCGGGCCAAAGCGGGAGCCCCATCTGTCAGCCAAACAAACCAGCTTTCTGCTGGCAGAAAGGAAAGCTCTGCAGGGACAGATGCAGCCCCAACCTGGGCTACTGAAGGGCTCTGGTGATAAGGAGGCAGGAGGGCCACCTGCAGGAACGGCAGCAGACACTGACATCTTCAAAAGAAAATCAATCTTAGCAAGGAGCACTGGGCAGCTCCGAAACATGAATTTTCTGTTAAGCTTTCAGAATATTCCATCCTACATGATTAGTGGATGCTAAAGTGTTCTGTCACCTGACCTGCTATGGAGCTAAATAAAATGGTCTCTCTTGTAGATACAAAACTTAAAAAACTAACTTTAGCAAGAAATGGCACTGAGACACAGGATCGGGTTCCGGCCCTCACTCTCCTGTACCTCTGTTTGCTCAAGATTCAATGCACCAAGAGTACAGCCGACACTCACTTCTATGGCTGGTTAGAAGCCGGTGGGACCCACCTCATAGCTTCAGCAGCCTCTAAGTTTCACTCTCATTTCTAGCTGAGAAGCAAGCTAAACGCTGTGCTTCCAGGTCTTTTCTCGGATGTACTTGCTTTTTCCTAGTTAGCCGGGGCAGGAAGAGGGTTTCAGCCAGAAAGTGCTCTTCCTCACCTCCACCCACCTTCCTTTGCCAGCTCTGGGCTCCTCCACAGCTTTCATAATTTAACCTACTTTTCATCTCAAAATCTGGATAATTTTAGTCAAAATATCAGGACTACATGTCAACTGCTCACAGGGGTAGACCGAGATGAAACAGGATGGATGAGATAAGAGCCAGGAAAATACTGCTATTGGTCAAGGCAGCCTCATAAACTCTGTGAAACTGATCTAAAACTCCGTGGGGCAGCAAGATGGCTGGATTCCATAGGCAGAATGTGGTGGGGGGTGGGGGGGATGAGTGGCAGAGGGAGAGCAGGGAAAGAGAAAGGGAGAGAATAAATACATACTAAAAATACTTATTTCTAAAAACTCGATGAAAGACAGGAATACCACAGGAACATGGGGAACGAGGGAGAACACCTTCACTTCATCTCTATCTGAGAACATCATTTGGCTCAACTTGGTTCACTTTTGGTTTTGTTTGTTTGTTTGTTTGTTTGTTTTTAAGACAGGGTTTCTCTGTGTAGTTTTGGTGCCTGTCCTGGAACTCGCTCTGTAGACCAAGCTGGCCTGGAACTCACAGAGATCCGCCTGCCTCTGCCTCCCGAGTGCTGGGATTAAAAGCGTGTGCCACCACCGCCCGGTTCACTTTTAAAAAGTTCCTAAAAGACATTTTAAAATGATGATCACTGGGCATGGACTCTATCAATTAAAGTTAAAGCATGCATACTCTATGATCCAACCACATCATCCTAAAGGAATTCTCACACATGCATATGTGATGCATGTAGAAGAAACCTCATTCAAGTACAGTAGGGAAAGGACACAAAAGCCTATATGTGGAACAAATGGGGAGGGCTAAATAAACAGAGGATGTATGTGCTATGGAATACAACACAACATTTAAGGTAAGCAAAGTCTGAGAGCAATGTGGCGGAGCTTCTGGTATGTCAAAGGTACCCAACTCACGGGGTGATGAGGACAGTATAATATCATGGCTGTTATGCCTCAAGGTTTCTACAGATTTTGTGATTCTACCCACCACTGGAAAGAATGGTGATTGACAAATGATAGAGATGTACAGATGACTGACTGACAGACAGACAGCAGAACAAGCAGGGAAAGAAGGGGAAGGAAAACAAAAAAGGAAACAGAAGTTAGCTAGGGTAAACCGAAAGTCCTCAATGGGGACTCTCCTATTTTCTGAAATGTTTCTGTTTGTTTGTTTTTTTGTTTGCAGTATTGAACTCTGACCCTCACGCATACTTGGCAAGGATTCTATCACTGGGCTACACCCCAACCCCAAACACTCTTTAGAAAGAATGATATTCATGTCTTAATTTCCTAATTAGAAATTAAAGATGAAGTGCATTTATAATGAGCTGGGTTTTAATCAAAACAAATAATACAAAAAATTAAAGGACGTATCTCTGAGTTTCCCAAATCCTACCCAGGAGCTAAAGATGAGCCTCTTCTACAGCCTCTGAAAGAGTTCATTTTGAACATAATTCTGGGGTGTGACTTTATATAGGTGTTAACTATCTTGACATCTCTAAGTTCCATTAGGAAAAAGCCAGCACTGCCAACATAACTACCTACTACCATATGGTACTACAGCCTTAAGTGAAAAAAAAAGAAGAAAGTAAGAGTTCTCATAATGCCTTCAGGGTATTTGGCCATAGGAGAAAGATACATAAATGGTTCTCATTTATATAGAAGTGAATTCATTAAGAATGGCAAGAGGCCGTGCAGCTGGTGAATTTTTTTAAGAGTTTGGAATTACGCCTAGAAGTCATCAGATTTGTTGCTAGTGAACCCCCATCTGTCATAGCCTGACTCTGAACTATATATAGCCTTTATTCCCCAAATCAATATGTTGTGTGTTCATGTAATCTAGTATCTAGTCTAGAAGCCTTGCAATTGTCTGTGAGCTCTCAATTCTTATTTTCACAATTCCTTGCCTTGTTATAATTCTTAATACACAACTGACAGAATATAGACATATCATTTTAAAGACTTCAATCACTAAAGTATAGCTGTGGGAGGAGCTAACACCGTGTGTGTGCACGTATATACACATATGAAACCCGTAAAGGACAAAAGTATAAAACACTGTACCAACTTGCGCCAGAGGTTAACTACAGCAAAAGATTTCACAGAACGTGTCTCATACGATACAATTTCTAAAACTCCTCATCTATCTGGCATCTGCTAAGCCCAGCTCTCTACAGCATCTGAGATCCTAGAGAGATATCTAAGTCACTCAGATGCCACAGTCTAAAGTCCCTGGTACAGTCATGGAGAATACAGTGGCTGTGGTCATTTGTTATCTTCACATATTTCGACTAATTATAATCCTAGTTACCTATATTCCTAACCTACCCCAAGAACCAAAGCAAAATTTTAAACAGGAGCCTAGAAAGCTGAAAGCAAAGGAATATCTATTTTTAAAATACTGTTGAGAACTCAAAAAAAAAAAAAATGCATAGCATTCTCTCTGAGTGCCGAGTGGAGAAAACAACCAACCCAAATTCAGTTTCTAAAGAAAACAATTTAGTATTCGAAAAGATCCCAGAGCCATTTATTTAAGTAGGACTGAATTCAATATACTATGTCTTTGAAAGGCAGAGAATTGTGTATTATATTTTAGAACATTTTAGAACAGGAAATTTGTCTGTTGAACACAACTGAGTATCATGAAGAGACCA